GGGTGTGCGATAGGCTTACCTCCACGTGGTGCACCCTGGGCAACGTTTACTCATACGGCAAAAAAGTCTATTAACTGGCAGTTGACCTCTGACTACAAACTACCATGACCCCACCCTATGTCAAATTCGACTACTTCAACCGTAATCACCTCACCTTTTTTCCAACTTCTTTGAAACACTCTTCTGTCCCCCCCCCCATCTCGACCTTTTTCACTTTGATGTTCCTTCCCATCTGTGAAGCCTGAAGTCAACTAAAGGGCTAATGATAACTATCAAAACGCCTGCCATTTGATATAAATAAATAAATAAATATTCCCATTGGCATTAAAAATTCTCAATAAAATCAGAAGAATTACAAAGAGTCATATTATATTTTAAAAGAAAATCAAGAATAGATAAAAAGTGACTCGAAAAAGTCAGCCTTCGGTAGGTTTTAGATGGTGGCATTGTCTTAATGAGAAACTATTTAATTTATAGGGGTTGCTAATTTGTTACTAATTAAATATTAGAGATTTAAGTGCCAGCATTTACACTAGGTGCTTGAACTAGGAGCGAAATGGGTCGAATTCCTCAGGTGTAACGCCTTTATTACAAAGTGTGGAATCAATCTTTTGCCATTGCCTTGAGATATCGGTTTAAGTCTCACACTTGCGATGCAATAACAACATTTGCAGACGTACGGCACGAACATCATCCGTATTTTTCTCTCAAATGCACCCACCACCCACTCACAAGGTGTTCATTAAAACAACAATCACTTTGATTTAACCGCCACCACCGTGCCTCGTTTAAATTCCACACACATAAACTTGCCTCCCTTCTGCGTGCAAATGTGGTATGGTGTGGAGTATGTGCATTGTTTATTGGGCGACACATATACTCGCGAACGCAGGCATAAACATTAAAGAGAAGCCGACTCGTATGCGCGCTTTATTAGCTCATCAGAAAGACTATGTCGGCATTTTCGTGTTCTCTCACGCTTGCACCTCCGCACCGGGCGTTTCGTCTCAATCTACTCTCTCCTTCTCATTCTTCTCTTATTCACCCCATGACGCATCTTTGTGCAAATTAAATTGCATGGGTCAGAGGATTGGGAGTTAGTGTTGAACAACTGCTCATTATATGCGGAACTCATCGGCTCTTTGATGTTAGAGATCATTAACTCAAACCACGCCAACACGTGGTATGACATTTGAAGTAACCAATGAGAGTGAAAGTGTGCATTGCATGCGTATAATCTACACGTTACTGTCTTTGATGTGTGGGTGCGCAAGTGGGGTGTATGTTTGTGTCCATAAAATGGCAACGGCACAGAATTGCTACCCATAAAATTTATACCTCCCCTCTCCATCACGTCGTTGTCTTATGCGAATTCCTTTCTCATGCGAACGAACCTAAAAAGATGCTAAGCATCCTGGCTACAATTCACATAAAGTAATTATTTGCTTCCCTTTTCGGCCAGTTGAAATTTCGTTTTAAAAGTTGTTAATTTGAGTAATTGATAGCCTCCATTTGGACATGGGTGATGAAATCGTTGACGCAATCTCCACTATGGAAAATAAAAATACAACTGCGTGATTGAAGAACGAGCCTAACTGAAATCTGAAGAATTTTAAAAGTTACCAGAGTAATAGAGCTCGAGGAGTAGAGGGGGGGGGGGATGACAGATAATAATTTTTAAGGGGTACTTGATGATGTCAAAGAGAGCTCACAAACGGGTACAAATGCAGAACCTAGGTGTTTCTTTAGTACTTTCCACTGATGGCGTCACCAATAGATGAATTCCCAAAACAAAAAATGACAAGTCAACAAATTAACAGCTAAAACCTAAAACATTTGTCTACAATCAACAAAAACCAGAAAGGTTCACGTCGCAATAGACAATATATAAAAAGCGACCTCTGAGGTTGAAAGGTCATTGCTCGATGATGGACGAAAACCCCATTTGTTGAATTTAATTCATACAATGGTTGTTGAATGCAAGTGTTTTAACAGTGTATTGAAAATTTTGCGACGAATTCTCAAAACTTAGCCGATTAACAAAAGGAACCAATTAAAATGTCCCGAATTAAGAAGCTTAAAGCTCTTTAAATTCCAGATTTGAAAATACCAATATCTACTATTGCGATTAGCCATGTCCTGCAAAGCTTTATATGTTGATTAGCAAATCATAACATATCTGTGATTATGTCAAAAAATAAATCCATAAACTTCTCGAAGTATTCTTAACCTCCAATTATAGCCAGTTTCAAGCAAATTAAATTGAAAACGCGGTGAAACGTGCATGCACTGACATAATTCTTCGATACTTTAGGCAGAAATGAGTAATTTCTAATTGAACAAGCCATATCTTAAAATATTACCCTCTGCATTTCCAATCGATGAATGTATAACTTGCAGTAACTATTTAATAACCCCAAAGCAAAAGGTGGCTTGAAAGGTCCCACATTAAAGACACTGCGAGAAACACTGTCGGCGAGATCAAACACAAAGACGGTACATATTTAAGGGCGAATAATTGCCTGAGCTCACTTAAAATAAATTACAGACCAAACATACGCAGATTTAAGCATATCAATGGAAGTATAATGAACACAAAATCTTAGTACTGACCACTTATGAGCTCTTTGTAATGAGGGGAATGTACATAGGTAGCCATTCAACAGTTCAATAACATACCTGTTGAATAGGGTCCAGACCTATTGTTGATAGTTGAGGTAAGCCGAAAGTGAACGCGATTTGGAAGGAGAATAGAAGTAACCAGGTAGCGGAGAATAATCGTGATATCAATCCCATTACAGCCTTTAGGTAATTAAAAGCAAGTTTCCTTTTTGGCTGTCAAGTTTTCCTTATTAATAAGAGGTGCAGTATGCAGTAAAGAAGCAGAACACGTGAGTCGGAGTTTTGAAGTGATTTTTGTCTCGTTATGTATGTCCGGGATTCGAATAAGTGCAAATATGCGATGTAGAGATTCAAGAAGCGTCATAATACCAATCATGCTTTTATATGTTGCAGCAACCAATTAGGTGAGAGTGGATGGTACACATGCACCACAAACGCGTGCGCATTTTTTGCACAAAACCTGACCCCGTTGTGACGATTTCGTTGTGCATTCAGTATCCGAAAAAATTTCATAATAATAGGTACAAATTACTTTTTCAGATTTTTTCGATACAACAGTAAAATAATCAGTTAAATGTACTTGGTATAAAGATGGCCCATCTTAGAGTTTTTTTCAAAGATTGAAATATTTACAGTAAATTTGTAAATTATAAAACTTGATATTGTGAAATGTTGGTCATATGTAAGTAGGGCTTATCCATATACTTGAAATTATTTGCACATAGATCAAAACTAAATTTAATCTTGTAAAATTCAAAACCTATCCTCCATAGTGATGAACTTTAACAGGTCAATTTCAACTTTCATTTTCCGCCAAAATTCCTCAAATTGGGCGAAAAAGGTACTTTAAACGTAGTCAGGAATACTGGAGCTTGCTCAAGGTGATGTCCACTGCATTATCTCATGTGTGAGTTCTATTAGTGGTTCGTTTGGAACTGCAAAATTAAGAGAAAGTATATTAATGTAAAGGGTTCTGCAAAACAGACTTCAGAATTGCAAAACCAGCCAATTATTTCCTAATTTACCGTGAAGCACTCAAGGACACAAATGTTGCCTGGTTGATATCACCAATGAAATCTTCACAACAAATTTTAATTATTTATTTTTCGGAAATGTTTTTGATTCATTTTTTTACTTTTTTACTTTACTTACCTTTGAAAACTGCCCAAAAATCGTTTTAAAGCCTGCTCTTAATGGTTTGTAGATAAACCAAAAAACGGGTTATTGCACATACATTTGCAATTAAAATAATTGCTTAGAATTTATTACAGTGACCTGACTAAGCTCAATCCATCAGCCGTTTATCTGGTCTTCAAAGGAATTGGAGGATTGAATTTTGGAGACCCTTTATCATCGGGATAGCCACCCAGATACACCGGTAAAAATTAGGTCAGAAACCCTTCGTGCCTTTGATGTAAGGAGAGAGAGAGAGGGTTTTATAAGTGGTAGGACATTATCTTCATACGAGGTCAAGTCTGGCGCACAAGCGGAACAGGGCCCCCTCGACTTAAAAGTCGTAGGTCTTTATGTTTATTTTTGCCATGAATCGACTAGTCTGTAATTTGAAAAAATTACTCGTCAACCAAAAGCAAAATACAGAGTGGCGTAATACGATCTAGGACTTTTTAACTTTTAAGGAACGTGTTTTGGGTGTTCAAATGGAAAGATTGTGAATTTTTGCTACAAAAGCACATACTCAGCTTTAGAGTTCCAAATAAATATTTTAAACCAAGTGTTCATATTTATGCACATATCGAATTTCAAATAAAATCCTATGCTAATTTTTGTAAATAACTGATCCAAAATTAAATATTTCGACTTTTTGCAAAAAGTGCGATTCCTTATCAAAATGTGCATGTTTTATTCTAGTGCATTTCACTAATGCGGCGATTTAGCAAAAATCGATTTTCCACTTTTGGTTCTTGGGGTGATTGATAAATCTACCGTTCCAAACTGAGTCGAAGTATTTCTATTTTTAATGGAGAAGGGGCATAAATGATTTCATCCGTCATTTTATTTGGGGTCATAGCCCTTGAAAAACCCATTTACCCTTCGCGCTAAAGCGAAAACATATTGATAGATTTAACCTCGGTGAAGCAATTTAACTTTTGAAGCATTTTAAAAGTTCAAATAAACGAACATGGGGATGTTCGGTAGAACTAGAGAAGTACCTAATCCTAGGTTCTTGAATTTATTTATTTATATCAAATGGCAGGCGTTATGATAGTTATCATTAGCCCTTTAGTTGACTTCAGGCTTCACAGATGGGAAGGAACATCAAAGTGAAAAAGGTCGAGATGGGGGGGGGACAGAAGAGTGTTTCAAAGACGTAAAAGAGACAGACACAAAGTTGGAAAAAAGGTGAGGTGATTACGGTTGAAGTAGTCGAATTTGACATACGGTGGGTGATGGTAGTTTGGAGTCCGAAGTCAACTGCCGGTTAATAGACATTTTTGCCCTATGAGTATACGTTGCCCAGGGTGCACCACGTGGAGGTAAGCCTATCGCACACCCCCCCCCCCCCCCCCCCCTAGGTCCTTGAATAAGTACTTTTTGGGTCATCTTTATGGAGCTGAATAAATATTTTATACAAATTGTTAGTTGTGTCTCATAATTCGCAAAATTTCCTAATGGCTAATTTTAAGCAAAATAGCGGATTAACAACTAAGACTCGTGTACTATGTTGTAGTGTATAGAAATTTTCATATTCCATTGTAGTACATTTTAGAGATTTTAATCGTCATTGGAAGTGAAAATGCTTTTGTTATCTTAATAAATTGTTTTGAATTACATCAATTAGCACAAACTGCGAACAAGAATCTCTGAATAATTAGAAATAAATCAGGACTTTCGGTTAAAAATTTCAAAAAATAACGATAAGTTTCTCTATTGAACCATTTTTTATATTATTATTTGATTAAAAAGAAACATAAAAGTTTATGGAATATAACCCAAAGTGATTTTATACCTAAGTCTAGAAAATGTCTTCAATTTAGTGTCGTTGGTTTAATGACAGAAGCATGTTTTAGTTATTCATGGCTAATGCAATTATAGATAAGCCTGCAAAATTTGACAATTATCTACTAACTTTTATTGTATTTATTTATATCAAATGGCAGGCGTTTTGATGGTTATCATTAGCCCTTTAGTTGACTTCAGGCTTCACAGAGGGGAAGGAACATCAAAGTGAAAAAAGTCGAGA